CTTCCTGTTCCTTTTGTAAATGCCACAGAATGGGGCTTTTCCAGTCAGTTCATGCCCATAATGCTTTCATCAGGTATATGCAAAGCTCCCAGCTAGAACATGCCTCCACCTCTGCTGACAGAGCTCCTGTACATTGATGGAGAAGCATCACTTCCTCATTCAGTTCCCCTGAAGCCACTAGGTTGAGAAATTTGGACTGTCCTGTCATTTTGTCTGAAAATCAGAAATCCAACTCAAAATCATAACATCCTTTTAGTCTTCCCTTATAAAGAAGGTATTTCCAATCCCTTTGCTTCCTCTCTCCAATATTGTATCAGAATTTTATTAACCAATAAAACTTTGGGAATGGGCAGCATAACCCCCCTCCCCTCTCCCTCAAGCAAATACACACCTGGAGTCCAACACAACACAGTGGTAAAAGAGGAGCCACAGAGTTCTCTAGACAAGACACCCCAACAGCTTCAAGAAACAGCTCTCTCTTATTAAGCTTACAAAAGCGGTAGCATATAAAGAAAACTTATATTTTTTATAGATGGCATATGACACCAGTGCGCTTAGCGAAAATGTTTAAAAAGGTTTCGGATATTTGCTGGAAATGTAAACAACAGCCAGGCACTTATTACCATGCCTGGTGGATATGCCCTATCGCTAAGAAATTTTGGTCTAAGATCCATAGATGGTTGGAAAAGATGATGAAAATACAGATAGAATTTAAACCGGAATTGTTTTTGTTAGGAATATTAAGACCTAATTATGGTAAAGAGAATGACTATTTGATATTGCATGTTTTAACAGCTGCAAGGATAGTATTTGCCCAATTTTGGAAAAATGAGAATTTACCATCTGACCAGACTATAATTACTAAAATTTTAGAGAGTGCAGAAATGGATAGACTAACAGTAGAAATGAAAGAAAAAGATGATTCAATTTATTTTAGAACTTGGGAAATTTTTTATCAATGGTTAGAGACACGTTAGAATTTGAAGGATTCAATATTTTAGAATAGATGACTGATTCTTAACCGAGTTCTAACTAATACTTCGATGATATGATTATTTTTCTTGATTTACTGATTTTCATTTGTTACTTTTGATTGTTAGGATTTTTTTGAGATTTTATTAGTAGTGTTTACTTAATAGATCAACGTATTTGTTTACTAACTGTTTTTAATATGTTATATAGTCTAAGCCAGTGGTTCTCAACCTTTTTAATGCCGCAACCCCCAACTGGTCGTAAGTCGAGGAATAAACCAGTCGTAAGTCGAGGAATAAACCGGTCGTAAGTCAAGGACTACCCAACCGGTCGTAAGTCAAGGACTACCCAACCGGTCGTAAGTCGAGGACTTTCCCTGCCCGGGAGCGCCGCGCATGCGTGGTTCCGCCCCCTGCGCCAGCTGAGGTGTAGCTGGCAAGCGGCAGAGACGGAGCAGGCTGACCACCAGCTGGCCCAGCTCAAGGGAGGTAAGGCACCCGCCGGAAAAGGAGAAAAAAATGGCAGACAGCCTTGCTTGGCGACCCCCGTGAAATGGTCGATCGACCCCAAATGGGGTCGCGACCCACAGGTTGAGAACCGCTGGTCTAAGCTTCGGTAAAAATGGTTGAACATGATATTTACTCATTATTATGATCCGGACGGTAGCTTGTTTGTTGAAATACGTGATTGTACCTATCCTTATTTTACCCCAAAGCCTTTATTCCCTTCCCCTTCCCCTTTCCTCCCACCCCTCCCTTTACCATACCTGTATTGTTCCTATTTTTCCTTATTTATATAAACTTAATAAAATTTTGTTTAAAAAAAACCACAGCTCTCTCAAATTCCCAAATTCTTCCCTGGATCTTTATTATTTTTTATCGCAGTCGTTTTAGACATCGCTGCGAAAGGGGCTGGGCCTGTCAGACGACTGAAATGATCTGCACGGCGGTTGTTGGGCAGAAAAGGGAGCGAAGAATTCGGCAGCAAAGGTGACCACATCATCAGGCTTGCGAAGAAGAAGCAGCTGCAAGAAATCTGCCAGCAAGGTGTTGAGTTCTGGATGGCGACGGACATAGGTAGCATGGCTTGCTTGTAGCTCTTCCTGTCGAAAGCAAACCAGCCCATTCTCTCTTTAGGGCTATAGCTCTTCAATGGCAGTAAATGAGGATCCAAATAAGATGCTCATTTGCTCCCCCCCCTCTCACACACACACCCCTGCAGCACAAATTTTTAAAACTCTCCTGCCTCAAAGAGATGTATAGCCTCATCGGCTATGTATTTTGGGTGTGAGCCATAATCTGCAATTGTTGGTCATGGTACTAGCAACTGCATTCAAAACATCTCAGGAGCACCAGGTTGCTCGTTATCATCTTCAACATAGGTATGAACATAGATGCTCTAGTCCACAGGTTGGCAACCTGCAGCTCCGGAGCCGCAGGTTCTGTGGCTCCCAGCCTCCTCTGCCATTTGCAGAGAGAGACAGAGACAGAGAGAGGCACTTGCGCTTCCCTGTTTCTCTCTCTGTCTCTCTCTCTGTGTGTGTGTGTGCGTGTGTGTGTGTAAAAGAGAGTGGACTCACGGTGTTCTCGGACAAGCTGAAAAACTTTTGGGGCGGGGCTCCTCCTTTTGCTGCATCTCTGCAGGAAGCAGGAAGGGCAGGAGAGAGTTAGCTAGGGAGTTCAACTTCTGGGAGCTGAAGTCCATGAGTCATAAAAGAGCTGAGGTTGCCTACCCCTGAGCTTGTTGGAGAACAAGGGAGAGGGGGGGAGAAAGAGAGAGAGAGAGAGAGAGAGAGAGAAAGAGAGAGAGAGGGAGGGAGGGAGAGAGAGGGGG